TCGATTGGCCGTGGCCATCTCCTGTCCTGTGCAAACTGACTGACTGACTGACTGACCTTGCCGCATGTTTGAGTATTAGTGTACCGATAGTCGCATCGTCCCTTACGTGTTGATTCTTATTTTATGGGTCGGCAGGACGATACCTCACTCAGGAGTTCCTCCAATAATGGTATTTTTAAAGCATATATTTTGGAAGGCGATGGAACACCCGCCGTAAGGTCAAGTTTATCAATCGGTGAATGACTGTTACGTAGGATATTACCGGATATTCAAGGTGCTATACCAGGACTGCGTTGACTTTTACTGGATATATTCTCACCGCCGGAATTTTGAGGCTAATATTCCACTGGTTTCCCCGGTTAATGCTTCAATGTACGCATAAAGTATCGCCACTATCAGACGCAAACAAGGTTCTTATTCAGGTAACTGAAAATTCGATGTTAATGGTACCTAAATAAGGATTCATGCGGAATTAGCTTCACTCCCGCAGTATCAAGATCACAAAATAACCAGAGGTATGTTTCTTTCAAAATTTTCAATATTCTCTTGTAGTTCGACGCTAGATGCATCTGGTGATCACAACCTGCAAGATGAGGTAATTAACATGATACAATTTCTCAACAGTGCTTTTCAGGATAGAAGGAAAGCCGCATACTTTATTTATAAAGAACTGAAATACATATGGTCTAACCATTCGGGCCAATTTGAGCTTTTAAAGTGAGTGAGTGAGTCAGTTTGCACAGGACAGGAGATGGCCACGGCCAATCGAGCGTCCAGAGTTCCTTCGGTAATAAGCCACTTGTTGGCCCCTACCACTGCGAATGTGCAATAACTCATCAGAATCTAGCAATGCCTTTGTTTCCAGAGATGATGATAATGATAACAATAGTAATACAAATAATAATATCAACAATTAATAGATTTAAAATGTTTTGTCAACTTCTCAATCTCCATTGAGAAATATCCGTGTTTCTTTAAACTACCCCATTGTATTTTTTTATCACACAACTGAGTGTCGTGAACAGCAGACGGGGCTAACCCCATAGTCACGAGGACCTGCTGTTCAGTGGTGGAAACCGGTAATCTAATCCCGCGGGACTTGGAGTGGCGAACCGCATAAGGCCCTAATAGGTTAGGCGTGGTATTGAACCGGACGACAGAAAAGCTGCCTAGCACCAAAGTCGGGTATTGGAGCTCGAACCTCGGACCATAGGGTCCAAAACACGCCGGTGACAGCGACTAAACCACTGCGCCGCAGTGCCCTAAATAGTTATTCAATGTACCGTTTCACTCCCGACGGACATCATGTTTAATTATACAATTTTTGTATGTAAAATATTAGAGGAGGGGGAGTTGATAACGCATATTAAGTATTTTCACGATATGCTTTGCTTGTCTATAGATGAATATTCTCTAGGGACCTCGTATACTTCACCCCGATGATCACTGCACCGACCGATGATTTTTATCTCATGTATGAATTACCTGTTCAATAAAGTGAATGGTAGCTAAAGGATATAAAGTATTGTTTCGTGGCCTGACATCCTACATTCAGATTATTTTGATGGGTCTTCTATCACCCCCAAACCCTTTTTCATTGAGCAGGACTGGATCAAGTTATAAGAAATATCTGTAAGAGCTGTTAAATGGAAATAGTTGCGTTTATGCACTAATTCACTCACCCGATCACTCTCATTGAGTTCGCATCTTTAATTTGGAAATTTACATTTTTATGGTTTTGATGAATTTCTACAGAATGCAACTAAAGCAACACGGTGACCGGTTTATGTATTAAACGATTTTTCACTACCACAATAATATCAAAGAAGGGGAAGTAACTAGTGCGTGATGTACTATTATCACCAGTAGCTATTTCAATTACTTATTGATCAGCTGTGCAAGGCATTAGCTGTTTTGTCCCCCAATCTGTGTTCTGCGTTTTCAGTTCATGGGAGGAAAAGCCGTATTCAAAGCTTTTTCCTGCGAAACCGCTATCAGAAGAAATGATTCATCAACGCCGTGCATTATATGGTCGCAACGAAATACTTATTAAAATCACTCCAATATGGAATATGCTCGTGAGCGAGGTGAGTTTGGCGTACTGAATAAGTTTGCATTTAATAATCAGGAGCTTTTATTGTAGCAGTCAAATGCAATAATACTAGCTCATACAAAATATCACAGGAATGTGCCCCATGTTATGTTTTCTCTCGAGGGTGAATGTATTTATTTTAGTCTCCGTAAGTAAATATTTTAAGATAGTTAGTCTTCCAAACTCTAGGCTTTTTAATCGTGTGTTTTGTGGAAAACTAGAAACCTTCTTGGGAACAACGAAATAAAAGGTGGTCGGTACTAAACTCTAATGACAGTTTCGAGTCTTCATCTATACTGTTAAGCAACCTTGTACGCTGCCCATCCTATAGGTTGCTCCGGTGGTATTCCATTCCTACTCAGAACTTCAGTCCATGATCATCGTACATAATAGATTTTTTCGACTACGAAACATAAGCCTTGTGTTGTTTCACACCAATGGGTTGCGTCAAAAGAACGGATCCTTTGAGGTCCTGTGCTGATGACAAATTCTGTCAATTTTTATGTTATGGTTTGTTTTGCATCATTTTAGGGTTATACATTTTTAAAATGCACATGAATAAGTCTGTTACTAGAGCCGCTGTCGAACAAGGTATAATCTTGCCATATGAAGCTAACTGGATCTTCGTCTGAGAATGTTACGATTGTCACCCTTTTTAAAAAGTGCTCGTAGACTGAGTCACATAACTACATTTAATAGAAATAGGCATATGCCAGGTTTACCTGAAAAAACGAAAACGCCTGCAACTTCTAGTCTGTCAATAGGATACAGTAATCAACCAGTGATCGTTCAATCAGTCAACAAAACACACATTTTTGTGGTAAACAAATACATATCAAATTGTCCTAATTAGGGAAAGTTATTGTAAGGATTCATGAACACTGATAGGGGAGCCTCAGGCTCAAGAGCACACCTATCCTACTATCACGTTAGGCCACTCATATTATTGCATAGTCTTGGCGATCGGAGTTTTCTTACTTTCCACGGTACATTACAAAACTTTTCTAAAAGAAGCTATGTTGCTTTTGTTATCTTTCCCCATCTCCTGTCATTTAACTCAAGTCAGGTCTCGTCAGGTAATCTTTCTTACACCTCAAAGTTTGAGTATTCGGCAACCAAATAATCCCTATGCATCAAACAGGGAACAATATGAAAAGTTTCCAATAAAAAATATACACCATTGTTGTTTAGCAGAATAATGTACCAAGAGAAGTTCTGAGTTGTTAAGAAATTTAACCAAATAAGGAACAACAGAATCCTTGCAACCCTCAGCATGTGGCTGTGTTTATACCCAACCGTAGGGATGAAGATAACAGAGATGTACTAAGGCCAACATATTAAGGATAAGAACAATCAGAAACGTCTTGTTAGACAGTTTGGTAAGCTTTGCAGTGTTGAGGTACATGTTGCAAAAGGTGCTCATGAAGTATACGGCATCATCCCGAAGATTTAAAGGAATGGGAGGTGTTTGAGGTCCTTACTCAGACAAACCAGTAAGGCAAACCGAGACCCAATAATAAAAGACCATAACAAGAAAATAAAGGCTCAAATAAAGCCTTCTGACCTGGAAAACGCTGAAGATATGACAAATCAGTGAGGCTAGGGTAAAGGGTTACATGGAGTTATCTGACAGATGGTTGTCCGTCGAATCTCTCTTTTAGACTGGATGTGGGAGTACTGGGGTACATCGTCGTATTTCTAACTTTTAAAAGGAAAAAAGGTGATACGAGAGCATTTCCTGGGATTAAACTTTAGGGATTAGTCTACATTTTCCTTCATGCTAGCTTGCAGGGAAGCCTGAGGTGATGGTTAGGGATAGCACATCAGCAGCATATTTGATAAGAAGCGAATAATTAAGCACAGACATAGAAGATATGTAAGAGGAATCTAGAAACTGTGAAAATAATGCCTGTAGTACGCCGTGTATGGAGGCCTGCACTAAACACGCATGACATCCATAACCTATAAACGACTGTGTCACTGGAGTAATTAACCAGTAGTTCAATCGTGGAAGAAAGAGTACAATAAAGGATAGGGTGCTTTGTAATGGTCCTCTGTAAATACTGTATTCCGAAAGACTCATGCTAACGGCCTGATTTCTCTTATCATGAACAAATAAAAAATGGAGGAGGGGGAACAAGGGTCTCTACAGTATTCCACAGACGGGTGTATACAAACTTATATAGGTACTCGACAGTGAGTTGGGTGGATAGAATTTCCGGGAGGAGTTTCTCAAATATCTTCAAATTGGCTGAGGTGAAGTAAGGCAAAATTTCTAAGAGTTCTCTTACAATCGAAGCTGCTCTCCAACGACTGGAAATAACTTTTGTGCGAAAGATATCGAGTATGAATTTCACTCAATGCGGGGCACAAGAAGACAGCTCATTCTCTCTGGCCAGTGGGCGATTTAGTTGGGTCAGTGCATATGAAGATCAACAGGATAACTGAGAGCAGCGGAGTTGGCCGGATCCATATTGTGTTCATTTGACCGAAGATGAAGGCTCGAGGTTGGTAAAACTGATTTAGTTCCTCTGTATCTAAGGCAGTGGAGTAGTGGTAGAATTTGATTCCAGGAATCCGCACAGGAGCCTATCAGTTCTCGCGACTGTTTACATTGTCGAGAAAAGCCCGATTTCACATACAACTGAGCCTACACGACTCGCCGCTAGTGGATTTTGAGAAGACACTGCAGTGGTTATGTATTCTGAAGGTGCGTTACGTTTTGCGACGAGGTTCTTTATGGTTTAAGACGGATAAGCCATCTCGTATGTATGCATTTTTTAAAAAAGTTGTGCGATTTAGAATACGTCGATGACATTGTCTGTCTGTTCAAATGTACGCAGGACGCGCAAAACGTATTTGATAGACTAACAAATGCAGCTGCTACATTCGGTATGTGCTTCGCACCTTCAAAGTGCAAATTGATGACGCGAGACTGGATGTCGTCTACTTCCGCTTTGAAACTAAATGGCCATGAATTAACGTCTTCCCTATATCTGTATCTTCCCCAGGCAGCCTTTGTATGGCAGCAGCCCCCTTCCTGAAGGTTGACTGTACATTTGTATATTCAATAAATAGAAAAAGGAAGTAAAAGACATTTTATTTTATATTTTAACTATAATGGATAACTTTTCGTACTTGAGTAGTTTTGTGACCAATGACGGGAGCTCAGCATAGGAGATAGCCGCTTACATTTCCAAGACTCGAGCAGCATACGCGGGACTGAAACACCTTTGGCGTAGACGCAACGTTTCCTGAAGTTGAAAGGTCGTGTATATTGTGCTGGCGTTCGTTCAGTCCTGCTTTATAGTTGTGAGAACTTCAATTTGCAAGTAGAAGATATCCATCGACTAGAAGTCTTCAACTATCGGTGTTTACGTAGTTTAACCCACGTGGGATTGCGTGAACGGGTTAGTAATCTGGAGATAAGCCCTCGTGTGTTTGGGAGTTTATCAGGTATAAACCTATTAGCACATCGAATTCAGATTGGTAAACTTTCCTGGCTAGGGCACGTATTTCTTATGCCTGGTTACCGTCTACCACATCGTGCCTTATTCGCTGTAGCCGCGCCGAGCTGGAGCAAACCGCGTGGAGGTCAACAGGTGACATGGAGACGAGGCATAAAGAATGCACAGAGCCATTAAGTAGAGTAGGTGTCACGCGCCTCGCAGGTTGGTGTTCGAAAGACTCCGCAACTGGTTGGTTGGGGACATTAAAGGAAATGTCAGAGAGCCGACAGCAGTAACGTTCATGTTGTCATTTCCTTTGAGGCCAGAATGCTTGGAACGGTATGTATGCAGAGTTCTATTGTGCACTTTGTGTTGACCATAGAGGTTCATCTTCTCCTCCCTCCCTCAAAGTCGGGTTCAATCCCTGTCCACATTAATTTTTACCACTAACTTTGCACTGCGAGTTTGGCGGCGATCAGTGTCGTTCGCTTCACTGTATTTCGCTGTACAATCATGATGAATTTATTTAAGGGGCAACAGATAAAAAGTTGAACTAACTTGTCAAGTGATCACACAAACTCAATGTATTATAATGTGAAAACAGAGTGATTAAAGTATTTTATTATGCCTCCTAGTTTCAACTGATTCACTTAAGAGCACTATCTAATTCAAAGCTAATGGTCACGATATCGATTTAAAAGGTGATGATTAGTTTTACGGAAACGTTGGAAGAAAATGTCAGCAACACACGATCAGATGTACTTAAGAGAGAACGGTATCCTTCATGAGGTAGTCGAGAAAAAGATCGACTGAGCCCAGGTGCGGATGTGCATCGGATTTGGCGCTAAATTGATTGTTCTCGAGTCTTAGGTAATTCGTAGACAGGTGTGAAAAATGTAGAGATCACCAAAAATTATGCAAAGAGAAGTGTCCTCATATCCAGTTGGCGTTCGGAAAGTCATTTAGAATGCTAACAAGAATGAATGACCGAGCGGTTTGAATGTTTGGGTTCACATTGTAGTATTGCAATATGCAGAACCGACGCTAGCTCTGAGTCCACTCAAAACACTGGCAGGAGGTTGAATCCAGACAACGCAGTTCGGACTCTTGTACCACTAGCGTTGTCCCAAAAGGCCGAGCAATACATGGCTACTCACCGATGCTCTATATGCGCAGGCGGGACACACTCAACTTTAGGCTCTCCGTGGAGGGGCTTCCAGGCAATCTGAAGGACAGAGACATGCATGCACACAGCGCACTCAATTCAAAATGGCTGCACTCGTGCTTTCACCACGGTCTACATCCATCAATGGCTAGTGTAGAATAAGGGGACACCGTTTTGTTCAATTCACACCACTGTACTAATACCACTGTCCCGCCTGACCTAGGAACTGAAAAATCGAGGCGGAAGGTTGCAAATCAATCGAGGTTTATGATAGCATCATGAAATTCATTATGGAACCAGCTTTATTTCAGCATGTTGAAATCAAGCTGAGAATGTTCGCGTAGTTTGACTGCATTTAAAAGTTCATCCCATTTCCTAAATGTGCTTTTGAAGACATTTTGTTACCCTCCTTATCGATTTTCTAAAGGAGGTAGTCGTTTCACAGGGGCTCAGTCTGATAGATTCAGGTCCCAAGAAAAGTTACCACTCATATCACCTTGACTAATGAGCTTTCCAACTTGAGTCCAAATTTACTAACTTCTGCTGGTTTCACGTTAACCGTTGTCGATTTCTTTATTGTCTGAATTGCATTATTAGTGGACACCCTGTAGTAAAAGGAAACACGGATGTGTTTACGTCTCGAGTGTTTGGTTTTAATGAGAGCTTGAATCTGTTGCATCAGAACACGATCTGCTAGCGAGGCAAGTTCGCTATTCAGCTCTGTTGATCCAGCAGTAATTGGTTTAAAAATAAAAGTGCTCTTTTGGCACAAAAGGTGTTGTTATTTTTTTCTTTTCTTCTTTTCTTTAGTGCCTAAATCCGTTCTACTGTTTCCAAGCGTTCAGCTGCGCCTTGTGGTTTTCGGATGACTATTGGATGTATGCTAGTTGCATTCTCTTGATTTCTTCGATTTCACTTATTGTGCAAGTCTATGAAATGCGTAGGGTAAGTGCTTAATTTCGCATTATCGTTACCATTTGCTTTGATTTTGCTGAAATCGAAGCGACGTTTTGGGGGGTTGTCTTGGAATAATCATCCAAAGTTATCCCTTTAATTCTGTACCGTATGTCGGGTATTATAGTAGTGTAGTATAGTATAGCATAGTATAGTATAGTATAGTATAGTAGTTTACACAAGGAATTCGCTTTAAGAGCAAACGAAAAAGACCCTTGCCTGTATTGTGCTTTTCGGTCTGTGGTTCGGTTGCCACTGCTTCTTCCGGTGAGTGATTACTAAATTTTAGTCGAAACGGATTGTGTGTATTGGAATGCTAGTAATACACGTTCAATGCGATACAAGATAAATGAGTACAGTGAAAATAATTATGCCACGCAAGAAAAGCAATACTTGAACGTTACGCCAAAAGTCATTTCTTTTCTATGCCCTGGTGTGATGAACGGCAGTCAGTGCAAACCACATAGTTACGGAAATCAAAAAATTAAGCCCTGGGACAAGGAGAGGTGAACCACATTATGCGGCACTAGATAAGGCGTGACATTGAATCTCAGCTGTCTACCACCAAGTGTGTACACCTTTTTTGTAAATTTCAATGCTTTTAACAAAAGCCAATATACATCCTCCACTGGATTCCGCTTCGGATCGCCA